GAATCAGAGGATATTGTAGAGGAAAGAGTTATCAATGAAGAATACAAAATATGGAAGCGAAACACTCCCTTCTTGTACGACATGTTGATGTCCCATTGCCTCGAATGGCCCAGCTTGTCAGCTCAATGGCTTCCTACAGTCGAAAGGTAAATGGTTTCTCATTTAACGTTGCAAGAACTGATCAGGACTATTCCATTCATCGATTAATACTAGGAACACACACTTCTGATGAGCAGAATCACTTGCTGATAGCGACAGCTCATTTGCCCAATGATCAAGCTGAATTTGATGCGAGTACATATGACAGCGAGCGCGGTGAGTTCGGAGGATTCTTTTTTCCTAATGGGAAATTGGAAATTTCTATGAAGATAAATCATGAGGGTGAAGTAAATCGTGCTCGCTACATGCCACAAAATCCAGATATAATTGCAACCAAAACGCCAGGTGGAGACGTACTGATTTTTGACTATCCACAACATCCTCCGAAGGCACCTCCTGATCGTGGCTGTATGCCTGATCTTAGATTAAAGGGTCATCAAAAAGAGGGATACGGCCTTTCTTGGAATTCTAGTCTTCATGGACATCTTCTTTCTGCCTCTGATGACCAAACTATTTGCCTCTGGGATATAAGTGGCATGACTTTGGACGGTCATGAACTCGATGCCCTCGCTGTTTTTACAGGACATCATTCGGTGGTAGAAGATGTATCCTGGCATCTTTTACATGGTACTGTGTTTGGTTCCGTAGCAGATGACAACAAATTGATGATATGGGATACAAGGAGTCAAAATAGGAATAAAGCTCAACACCAGGTTGATGCACACACAGCCGAGGTTAACTGTCTTGCTTTTAATCCATTTTCGGAGTTTATTATTGCTACTGGAAGCGCAGATAAGGTACTCATAAATTGATTCATTGATACATAGACTGTTGCTCTATGGGACCTAAGGAACTTACGCCTTAAGCTTCATTCTTTTGAATCGCACAGAGACGAAATCTTTCAGGTTTTTTCCTTATATATAACATAATAACCGCATGCCTATTTAGGTTCAGTGGTCCCCACATAATGAAACTATTCTGGCTAGCTCTGGCACGGACAGGCGCC